ACCTCATGGTGCATGCTAATGATGTTTAGTAAAAGCATTGGGATCAATTTTGTAATTTTTTATCACAGAATTTTTGCATCGTGAAATTTGAAAAAAAGCAGAAAAAAATTATTTTATTTAAAAAGAAAAATGAAAAAAAAAGTTTTTGCGATGCAAAAAGTTGTGAATGAAAAATGTTTTAAAATATTTATAAATAATTAAATTTGAACAATGAAAAAGCATTAAAAATTCATTAGCTTAATAAAAATTTTCAGCAACAATAAAAATGTTAAGCAAATGTGGATGATGATTTAGGGAAATATAATTAAAATTATAAATAAATTTACATATAAGCCTAAAAAATTATAAAATTTATGGCAAAGAATATATTTATTGTATGTCAATTAATGGTAACAATGGAAAGAAAAATTCATGTTGTAAGTTTTAAGGAACAAAAATATCAACGAGATTTGAACATACAGAAAAATTTTCAACGCGTTTTTGACTCTTAATTTGCAGTTTTTTTTAAAATATAACAGAAATATTTGTAAATAATTGTTAAAAAGTTGTCTAGTTTTAGTTTTATTTTCTTTGATTTTTTAATTATTAAAACTTTTTGATATTTTGTTTTATTTTTTTAACTTCTGTGAATCTCTTCAAAACTTAAATTTTTGAAATTTTTTCATTTTAAAATTTTTTATGAGATTTAAATTAAAAGTGATAATTTCTACAAACCTAATTGAATTTTTTATTATTTTTTAATTGTTTCAAAATAAACGCAATCAATTCAAACTTTTTAAAGAGAACTTTCGTACAAATTTACTATAAATAATTTGCAATCGTTTTCGACAATCTAGTTTTAAATGAATTTTTAACTTTTTATGCATCTTATTTCACTCTAGAATCTCTTTTTACATTTGTCAATTTTTAAAATTTTAAAACTTTTTTTTAAATCATAAAAAATAAGCTTTTTTTTTAAGTAAAAAAATAAAATAAATTATAAGCGATTAGCCAGAATTTTCTTCATTCCAAAAAAACGAGCACGAAAAACGCAAATAATGCTTTAAAATTTATTTTTTATATGCAAAATTCAGAAACTTTTTGTAAACAAATAAAGCACATGTTTTTCTTAAACGAATTATAAAAAGTAAAGTAAATTTGTGCCAAAAATAAATTTTTGTAGCACAATTACAAAATATGTAGAAAAAAAAGATAAAATTCATCAACATTTCTAGATTCGACCAAAATACAACAGATCCAATAACATTAAAACTTGTAGTACACAAATAAATTAATATAAAATAAAGTAAAAGATTATTTAAACCCCAGCGATCTTTATAAATCACTACTAAAATTGTAGAAATATTAGAAAAATATTCTGAAAAACTGCATATTTGTAGATTATTGTGAAGAAATTTTAGAATATTTCCTGAAATTTAATTTTTGTTTGATTTGAGTTTTTGAATTTATTAGCAAAAACAATTTAAAAAAGCTGATTTTTTGACAATTGGACTTGATTTTGGGGAAGGGATCAATATTGAATATGTTCAAACTTATTTGGGATGTGATCCTAATTTTATTAGAATATTCTGAAAATGTGAGATGAGCAACATGATCCCTGATCCTCTATTTCACTTATGGAACCCCAAAAAACTTCCAATCAGGCCAATATTTAAGAAAAGTCGACCAAAACTTGTCATAAGATTAAAAACAAAAATTTCCATTAAATTTGAATTATAACTTTTAAATTTTATTTTTCAACAAGTCGGCACTTTTTTAAATTTTAGAAAATTAAAGCATAAAATTTTTCACAATCTTTTGATAAAAATAAACACAATAAAGTCATTCAAAAATGAAATAAAAACATAAATTTTACCAGAAAAATCAAACAATGAAAAAAAAAGACAGAAATCAGAAAGATGAAAATTTTATGAAACTATTTGTCAATTATCAATGGAAGCAAGTATAAAGAAAATATTGAAAAATTATACATTAAAAATTAAATTATGAAATAAAATGGAATAAAAAGTTTTAGAAAATAAAGTAATGAAAACTTGAAAAATATCAGCGTGAATTCATCTTTATATGTAAAAGTTGGTTTTGAATCAGGTTTTGTGTTGTTGAGTGGGGAACTAAATATCCATGAGTTGAGTTTTAACTTTAATTTCAATTTATATAAACACAATTTGGAGGAGTTGAGGAGTGTGAACATGTTGTGCATTGATATTGATAGTTTAAATTCCTTTTTAAGTTTAAATTTCATAGTTTTAAATTTTTTAAACGTTCCTAAACTCGATTAAAACCTCCAAAAAATTAAGTTTTATTTAATTTAACTGTTTACTAATTTATTTTAATTTATTATTTGCGTTTTCAATTTATTTTTATTCTTTTCCAAAATATTGTTCCTAAATTGCATATGTTTATGGATTTAAATTTTTCACTTGTTAAATTTTCCTTTTTTAAGCAAAAACTTGCTAAATCTGATTTTATTTATTAATTTTTTGCATCATCTGTTCACAACTCCAAAAGGGGTCAATGCTTACCAAGAATATGACAACACATTTGCAACCATTCCCAAAACTTATATCAAAAAGAAACAAATAAGCAAGTTAAAAATGAGTAATTATTCACATATCCCAAAAAACATATTCAAAAATACTAAACAAAATTATTATTTTTTCCTATTTTCATTCTATCCTATTTTTTATTATCTTAAAATTAAATCTATATATCTGTTAAAATTCAAATAAAAACTCATGGAGCTAAGAATCTTAAGACAAATAAATAAATTCAAATACAATGAAAAATATCAAATAAAACAATACACATATCTGAGGTGATTTAGAAGTTTTTTAAGTGATGTTTTTATTAAAACTCTCATGAACTTGAAACATGGAATCTATCTGAAATTCTTAAAAAGGATCCCAAAATGATATCTTAAGGAGAGCTAATTCATAACATATGAAGCCTAAATTAAGTTAATTATGTTATTCAAGAGACAGATTCGAATTAAAATTTAATAAACCTAGAAACCCTAAAATAACTTAAAATATATTTAAACATCGCTTAAAAAATTCCAATCACCTTCGATCATTTTTGAAAAATAAAACTCAATTACATTAATAAACAAGAAATAATAAAAAATGAAGAAAACATAAAACTACAATTTTAGAAATTGACACAATATCCTACACATATTTTACATAAATACATAAAAATTACTTAATGAATTAAAATTATTTAAAAGAAAATATGAAAAAAGTATTAAAAAATAGTTCATTAATAATTAGATTAATACTAAAACAACTTTTAGAGACACAAAAAAAAGTCAACAAGAATGTTGGAAATTAATTAAGATTTGTTGAAATTTCATCGCTTAAATTAAGGATGGTAAAATGGAGAATTTGTGGGATTTATTGTTTATTGTTTGGGAAATTTTATGTCGAATTTTTTTAACATTTTGACTATTGTTGACTTAATTTTGACTAAAATTCGTCAGAAATTTGTTTTAAGTTTTTCATTAAATTAAAAAAATGACAAATTTAAAATATTTTGTTAAAAGCTAAACTACAACTGATCAGAATTTATAAAATGTTGTTCAAAATTTAAATTAAAAAAATATTTTTGACAACCTGAGGCGTGGAAACTCAGGATTAATCCTGAAAAATCCTGAAAATATCCCTGGGCCAACAAACATTAAAATGTGAAATCAATTTTTAATCCCTAATGAATTTGATGAATAAATTCAGATAACAGGAATTTTTTTCGGAATTTTCGGGATTTTTCATATTAATTCTGAGTTTCGACGCTTTGCTTAAACCAGATTCGGTTCAAAATTTACCAAAAAATAACACAAATCTTCACAAATCCTCACAAAAAAAAAACAATCCGAATTAAAAACGATGAAATTTGCAAACGAAAGTCAAGAAAGTCAAACTCGAGTAGATGCCACATGTAGGAATATGTTAATTATACATTATTATACTCTAACATCATCATCAGAAAGAAATACAAAAGAAAATTATGTCATAATAATAAAAAAATTAATAGAAATAATATATATACATATTAAAATTATATATATCATTATAAATACACAGAAATTGTAGTTTCAGAACAAGAAAAACCAAAAAAACTCTGCATTTTTATTCCCAAAAAACCTTCATTCAATTTTCCTCATTTTCACATCTTTTGTTTTTATTGATTTGAACATTTAGAAATTTCACAATCAAGACATGATTTTATTATTTTTTTTACAATTATTTCAAGATCATCATCTAAACCTTTCTTTCAGAATTGGATTAAAAATAGAAATTTGGATAATTTAAATTTTTCAGAGAATTTAAAAGATGTTTTCAGATTAATTACCAGGAGCCAAAATGTGAAATTTCTTCAATTTGCTAAGATTTTTCGTGAAAAATAAATAAAATTCCATCCCTGGTCCCTTCTTATACCATCCTGAATTGTTTTACAATTTATTTTAATATTGTTCAAATTTTACGAACTTAGTCATCGACATTATGAAGTTTGATTTCGTTGTTATATCTCCCTGGTAAACAGAATATTGAAAAGCTAGTTTTAAACTTTCTAGGTTGCTTAAGGCTAAGTGCAACGAAGGTTAAGTTCATATAGATTTCCTTGCTTAAAACTACTTTTTAATCGTAATTCTGGAATATTGATTTATTTGTTTGAAGAATCTAATCAAAATTTAATTTTAAAGCGAAATGAATTGAATGGCAAAAAATCTTCATTTCATTGATATTGTTGTAATAAATTCAGATAATGCGCGCACTTTATGTAAATAATAAAAAATGGTTTTAAACTTTCAAAAGCTTTCAAACTGTTAAATCATCATTCCTGTTGTTTAAATTAACTTTTATCGAAGTTTCTTAATATTTTTCAGATATCATCAAAAGATCCCTTAAAGTTTGATTTTTTTGAAAATCTAAAATTTTATTTATTCCTCAATTCTCCCAAATAATTCTTGAAAAAAAAAAATCAATTTTAAATAGGACAAAATCTTAATCTTCAGATTCAAACAAGTTGACCAAGCATCTCCAAGACGGGTCAGTGTTAAAATCTCTGTCAGGCATGACAATTAAGGGTCTTAAAATATCATCCAACAAGATCTTATCGAGGTTCAGTATGTTCAGACTTGACACTACACTGTCAAGAAGATTGACCAATAGATTTCCACCTAAAATTTCGCCAAGGTTGAGCAATCCTGGACGATCTAAAACTCGACTTTTGAGAGCTTCACGAGCATCTGGACTTAGTTGATTGACTAGAGTTTCAATATCACCACAGGAGAGTGCTGATGGAGTTGGAAAGAAATTGTAGCCTGGAGAACCAGCTGAAGTTCCTGTTGAAAAAAAAATAGAGTTTTTTTTATGAGCTGGTTGAGGAAGGTGTTCTTAGAAATGTCTTTTTATACGATTTTAAACTCGAGAGACAAATAGTTCAGGTTGACGTGATTTCGTCCTTAAAAATGGGCAACATCATATTGTCTAAGCAGCATTTAAGGATGTGGAACTGATGAAATAATCAAAATTGATTAAAATGATACCACAAGTGTGAGTAAATGGATGTCAGGAAGTGCAACTGAGCCAACTCGAATTATGGATTGATAAACCTTTATAAGGCACTCATCAAAACTTTCGAAACACCACAACAATTATGCTTACCAATAATTAAGATTGCAACAAAAACCAGCTTCATGATTAAGTTTTGATTAGATTTTGAATAATTTTTTGGGTTTAAGTTTGAACTTGATTTAACTTTGAAGTTAATTCAGATAATGATAAAGTTTACAAGACTTACTAGCTGTTTATATACTGATTGAAAAGCTTAAAATTCAACAAATGTTGTGCAAAGTCTTTTGAAATTTAGGATTTTAGCTTTCACATGGAACACGAAAATTTGACATTCAAGTACAAAATTTAGAAAAAAAATCACGACTTTATTTCTTTTTGAAATCATTTTTCAATAAAATCATGTGAAGAACTTTATTCAATTCAAAAGTCTACTTCAAAGAATTCGACTTAAAAGATGTGATAAAACTTTATCGTCCACAATAAAATGAAAAGTGACAAAATTTTTAAGGTTTTCTTTTTATTATTTGCGAATATTTAAATCGTGCTTTTGTTAAAAATTTAGGGTTTTTCGTGAATCTTTTAATTTAATTTATTTTATTCTCAAAATGTCCGCTTTGAGGATCAAAAATGCCGATGAAGCTTATCTCCCAATTTCAAAATAATTCTCAAATTTAATTTTTTTTTAAAATTATATAAAAACACTGTCAACTTTATGGATTTCATCATAGTTTCTATATACTTTGAAGTGAAATCAAGTTTTTTATAAAAAAAGCTCAAAAACTTAATCATGAAATTTATTTTTGTTGTTGCGGCAATCTTTATTATTGGTAAGTCAACTGGCTGTGCTGTAAAGTTTTTTAAATAACTGGCTATGAATCAACTCTATTAAATTATGAGCAAATCTATTTTAGTCTCCTAAACTTAGACTCATTGATTTAAATTAAGACACAAGAATTGGATTTTTCAGTTCTTAGTCACAGGCTCAGTCGGTAAAATAGTTCGATAACAAATTTGTGTAAAGTCAGTCTATAGCTTTATTACTAAATAATTGACCTCATACCTCAAAAGAAAAGTCAAAACTTCACCAGAAAGCTCCAATTATGCTCAATAAACCCAATTTAACAGTCACTAGCGCTTTCATTGTCAAGTTCAAAGCTTGAAGTCACAATCAGCCTTGATAAATAAATTTTATTCCAACAGGAACTTATGCTGGCTCACCAAGCTACAATCCACTTCCATTTCCAATAACATCACCACTGTCTTGTGGTGAAATTGAAATTCTTGTCAATCAATTAAGCGAAGCTGCTCGCGAAGCTCTTAAAAGTCAAGTCTTGCAACGTCCACGTTTACTTGATCTTGGAAATCTTTTAAATGGAAATCTTTTGGGCAGCGTCCTTAGTGGAATATTGTCAGGTCTTAACATTTTGAACCTTGACAAAGTCTTGCTTAGTAACATACTCAGTCCAACAATTGTCTTGCCAAAGAGTGATATTGATACTGAATTCGATCCAACTTGGAATTGCTTAGTCAACTTTTTTGAATCTGAATAAAGATTGAAATCTGAGGAATAAACAGCTGCTGTGAGGTTTTATTAAGTAAAACATATTTTCAAAATTATTTTCAATACAATTATTATCATTTTTATTGTTTATTTGTGAAATAATATTTTATAACTTCAGACTTTAATTAAAATTATTTTAACTTAAAAAAATCTTATCAATCAAAATTTCTTATTCTTTAACTTTTATTTTAACATTTTTTTTAAGTTAATTAAATTCAAAATGTATCTAAAAATTATGTTTTGTTTTAAAAATATCAAAAATTGACATCTTAATCTTCACACAATGTAGGTTCTGTAAATAAAAACATTAAGGAATATAATCAATATTTTAAAAAAGTGTAAAATTATTATGATTTTTTTGTTTATGACATAAGCTAAATTAATTATTGTAAGATGTCCGAACAGCAAATTTATTTAGGTTGATTACAACCACAATCGTAAGCTAAAAAATAAAAAATAAAATCAGCTCGTTTTTTAAAATTTATCAAATTCAGAATCAGAATGAGACATAAGTTGGGCAAAAAAAGGAATAAGAGTTGGCTCGAAGGGTGTCGGATCTAATTCTGCCTGTAAAATTATTTCAAATTTTTAAATACTCTGACTGATTAGTGTCAGGTTTGAGATCAAGATGAAATAATAAATCTATTAAATTCTCGAATAAAGAATCTATTTAAGGTCGAATAGGTAAGGCGCTTGGCTTAAATTTGAGATGGTAACTCGAAAGTCGTCACTTCGAATCCAGCCATTTCCAAATTTGTTCTTTTTTAGTACGAGATTGCTTAACGTACGAGATCAAGTTTTAACTGGGCATTTGGGCAACGTTGGATTAGTGAACGGGCAGAGATCGAAGCCGATTTTTTCGGCTTGACTCAATTTTTGATTTTTTTGATTGAAAAGCTACATGCTGAGAAAATATTACTCAGAATCATAGTAAAGCATGTAAAGTTCAATTTAGCTACTTGCAATTGGCGTTAAATGGCTTTTTTCGATCAAAAAAATCAAAAATTGAGTTAAGCCGAAAAAATCGGCTTCGATCTCTGGGAACGGGTCTGAAACTTGAAGTGAAGTGGGAAAAATAAGAAACCAGAGCTGCAAGATTACCCACAAATGGAATATTGTAAGAACGGACATGTAAAGTATCACGTTACGCCCACAGAAGATCGAAACGATAGCCTTAATTTATTTGAAACGTAGATTTAAAGATTGGAAGTTTGATCCTTCATAAGATTAATTCATGTGTATGCAAACTCATAAGTGTAACCGGACAGTATGCCAACAATAAATGCAATAAAGTGCAATTGAGAAAATAATAGAATAAAACAGACCTAAAAGTATCATACTCAAGCCAAACGAATATAAACACCAGAAGCCACAATTAATTAAAAATTACTCACGTATTGTTGTTGTACAAGTCAACACTTGATAGTGCGTAATTATAGCTTCTGCTGGATTTCCATCATAAAATTGTATACCTTGAGCTGGCAGAACCCTTCCAATAAAATAATAAGTAGAATTAATTTGCACACGACCAATATACATTGGCCAAAATGATGATGACTTCCTGATTGTTACAGCATGCTCCACAGGTTGTCCATACGATGATTCAATCCATTGATAAGAACTGGTATCATTCCTCAAAAGATATTCAGTTCCAACAGTATCGAGAGACCATGATCCAGTCGGTGTAAGATGTAATAAACCTGATGGTGGAGTAATTCGAACCCGTCCAACTAAATAATCCTTATTTTCTGTTGTTCGACCAACAAATGTGGTGTTTTCATTATCTGTATATACCCCATCAATTAATGGCTGCATATCATTTAGGTATGGTGCCCATTTATTGTCTAAAAATAGAAGAACAAAGGAATACAACGATAGTGTGTCAGGAAAGCAGATGGATAAATAAACAGAACTCTAGTCTAATTTCAACTTACTGCAATCATAAAGGACAACTTCAGGATTTGGATCACATGTTAAGACTTGATAACTATTGTTGGAATAGTGCCAAAGACTAGCAACATTATCAAAGTAAACCATTCCATAACCAGGCACAACAGTTCCTAAATATAAATGCGAATTAGACCATATTCGTCCTATGAAGAATGACTGCACAATGACTGCATCTTGAACAAATTCTCCATTATGTGAATTAACCCAACTATATGTGTAGTCATGAAGATTTTCTAAATATTGGAAGTTGTTTAAGCAATTCTCGACACCAAAGTAGTAACAATAAGAGTTGCTTGAGGTTTGTTGAATTCTACCAGGAAGGATATTTCCATAAACATTTCCTTGACCAACATATCCTGCATTTGAGTCAGCAAGACCTGCATTGACACCATATGTAGATATATCTTCAATTCCTGTGTAGTCCTTCCATGTAATAATGCATGTTTTTGGAGGAACTTTAGTTGTTGTTTCTGTTGTTGTACTATCAATAGGTGTGCTTACTGTTGTTATTATACTTGGTGGTATTGATGATGTTGATATTATTGTTGTTGATTCTGTTGATAAGTTTTCAGGTGGAATCGATGTTGTAGTTTCAGATGTAATTGTTGTTTCAAATGGAGTTATTGTAAATGGAAGTGTTGTAACTTCACTGCCATGACTTGATGCTTTATCTGTTGTTGAATCAGTACTAATTGCTTGGGTTGTAGTTTCACTTCGATCAGAAACTGTGATTTCTTCACTAATGGTCGTTGCTTCTGTTGATGTTGTTGCTTCTGTTTGATTTGGTGTAGTAATTATAATAATAATTGTGTCTGTTGTTGTTTCCGTGTTTCCAGTAGGGACAGTGCTTTCAGATCCTGTTGGATTCAAAGTCGTTGTATCAGAACCGTCATTTGGATTTGAGGTTGTTGAATCTGCTGGATTTATAGTTGATGTTTCAGAACCATCTGATGGATTTGAGGTCGTAGAATCTGCTGGGTTTATAGTTGAGGTATCAGAACCGTCTGATGGATTTGAGGTTGTTGAATCTGCTGGGTTTATAGTTGAAGTACCAGAACCGTCATTTGGATTTGAGGTCGTTGAATCTGCTGGGTTTATAGTTGATGTTTCAGAACCATCTGATGGATTTGAGGTTGTTGAATCTCCTGGGTTTATAGTTGAGGTATCAGAACCGTCTGATGGGTTTGAGGTTGTTAAATCTCCTGGGTTTATAGTTGAGGTATCAGAACCGTCTGATGGATTTGAGGTTGTTGAATCTCCTGGGTTTATAGTTGAGGTATCAGAACCGTCTGATGGGTTTGAGGTTGTTGAATCTCCTGGGTTTATAGTTGAGGTATCAGAACCGTCTGATGGATTTGAGGTTGTTGAATCTCCTGGGTTTATAGTTGAGGTATCAGAGCCGTCTGATGGGTTTGAGGTTGTTGAATCTCCTGGGTTTATAGTTGAGGTATCAGAACCGTCTGATGGATTTGAGGTTGTTGAATCTCCTGGGTTTATAGTTGAGGTATCAGAACCGTCTGATGGGTTTGAGGTTGTTAAATCTCCTGGGTTTATAGTTGAGGTATCAGAACCGTCTGATGGATTTGAGGTTGTTGAATCTCCTGGGTTTATAGTTGAGGTATCAGAACCGTCTGATGGGTTTGAGGTTGTTGAATCTCCTGGGTTTATAGTTGAGGTATCAGAACCGTCTGATGGATTTGAGGTTGTTGAATCTCCTGGGTTTATAGTTGAGGTATCAGAGCCGTCTGATGGGTTTGAGGTTGTTGAATCTCCTGGGTTTATAGTTGAGGTATCAGAACCGTCTGATGGATTTGAGGTTGTTGAATCTCCTGGGTTTATAGTTGAGGTATCAGAACCGTCTGATGGGTTTGAGGTTGTTGAATCTCCTGGGTTTATAGTTGAGGTATCAGAACCGTCTGATGGGTTTGAGGTTGTTGAATCTCCTGGGTTCATAGTTGAGGTATCAGAACCGTCTGATGGATTTGAGGTTGTTGAATCTCCTGGGTTTATAGTTGAGGTATCAAAACCGTCTGATGGGTTTGAGGTTGTTGAATCTCCTGGGTTTATAGTTGAGGTATCAGAACCGTCTGATGGGTTTGAGGTTGTTGAATCTCCTGGGTTAATAGTTGATGTATCAGAACCATCTGATGGATTTGAGGTCGTAGAATCTGCTGGGTTTATAGTTGAGGTATCAGAACCGTCTGATGGGTTTGAGGTTGTTGAATCTCCTGGGTTTATAGTTGAGGTATCAGAACCGTCTGATGGGGTTGTGGTTGTTGAATCTCCTGGGTTTATAGTTGAGGTATCAGAACCGTCTGATGGATTTGAGGTTGTTGAATCTCCTGGGTTTATAGTTGAGGTATCAGAACCGTCTGATGGATTTGAGGTTGTTGAATCTCCTGGGTTTATAGTTGAGGTATCAGAACCGTCTGATGGGTTTGAGGTTGTTGATTCTCCTGGGTTTATAGTTGAGGTATCAGAACCGTCTGATGGATTTGAGGTTGTTGAATCTCCTGGGTTTATAGTTGAGGTATCAGAACCGTTTGATGGATTTGAGGTTGTTGAATCTCCTGGGTTTATAGTTGAGGTATCAGAACCGTCTGATGGGTTTGAGGTTGTTGAATCTCCTGGGTTTATAGTTGAGGTATCAGAACCGTCTGATGGATTTGAGGTTGTTGAATCTCCTGGGTTTATAGTTGAGGTATCAGAACCGTCTGATGGGTTTGAGGTTGTTGAATCTCCTGGGTTTATAGTTGAGGTATCAGAACCGTCTGATGGATTTGAGGTTGTTGAATCTCCTGGGTTTATAGTTGAGGTATCAGAACCGTCTGATGGGTTTGAGGTTGTTGAATCTCCTGGGTTTATAGTTGAGGTATCAGAACCGTCTGATGGATTTGAGGTTGTTGAATCTCCTGGGTTTATAGTTGAGGTATCAGAACCGTCTGATGGATTTGAGGTTGTTGAATCTCCTGGGTTTATAGTTGAGGTATCAGAACCGTCTGATGGGTTTGAGGTTGTTGAATCTCCTGGGTTTATAGTTGAGGTATCAGAACCGTCTGATGGATTTGAGGTTGTTGAATCTCCTGGGTTTATAGTTGAGGTATCAGAACCGTCTGATGGATTTGAGGTTGTTGAATCTGCTGGGTTTATAGTTGTGGTATCAGAACCGTCTGATGGATTTGAGGTCGTTGAATCGGATGGATTTATAGTTGAAGTGCCAGTTTCTCCTGAACTGTCTGTTGTAGAGGTTGGTAAACTATCACAAACTAAAACTTCGAAGCACAAAACATTATTAATATTTCCTTCTGCATCGCTATACTGCATAATTCCAGTATTTAAATTAACTGTTCCTATGATCATAGTTCCATCCAAAAAAATTCTTCCAACCGAATATTCCAAACCACCTGGCATTATTAATGAAGCTGGAAATACATCAGTGATGAGATTTGCTGTGAGATTTGCTAAATTAACCCATGAATATGTGTGTACTAAATCTCCAGTCAAGACTCCATTCTGCGCATTAATCATCATTGGAAGTGTAGTTGATGAATCAGTGATTGGATTTAATTGTGTTACTGAGCTCTTCCAGTAAATTGCTGGTGATTAAATAAATATTAAAATTTGTAGGTTGTGATAATTAAATCGAACTTACGGCATACAGGTGGAGAAGCTAATGCAGAACTTGTAAAAGGCTTATTACACACCAACACTTCATAACTTGCTGTAAATTGCTCAACGCCGCTGTAATCAGAATAAAACATTCCACCTAAAATCCTCACAACAGTTCCAATGAAAGTTCCATCATTTACTGAAATTCGTCCTATGTATTGAGCACTGCTCTTTGGCACATTCAATGTCACAGCATTTGGCACATTAGTTCCATTTTCTGAAGCAATCCATTCATACGTATAATTTGGATTACTGTAAAGGAATTCAACAGATCCATTAGCATATCTCTCCAAACCGCTGTATGAATAAAACATTCCAGGCTGATTAATGTGAATTCGTCCAGGCATAAATCCATTAAGCACTCGAACACGTCCAATAAACGACTCAACACCTGATGTGTAAAATCCAGCCGTTAAGCCATCAATCATTGGCGTGCTATCGTTCTCATAAGTCTTCCACTGAGTGACTTTTACATGAAAATAAGCAAGGCGATTGAGGAAAGGAAAAAAATAATTACATTTTACGAGTTTAATGCGCTTTAAGGTTAAGATTTGAATTGAAATGACAAAAGGAGTGAAAATACGAAAAAAAGGGTACTAAGCTATGAAGTAAAGGGGAGAAAAAGTGGTACAAGACTACGTAAAAAAAAGAATTTTACTATGAAGAATCCCGAATGGCACAAGTCGGTTAATCGAAAAGAAATCCAGTGCCCAGTCGTCATGACTCTGGCATGGTACTGGCTTCAATTTAAATCTAGCACCATGCCAGAGTCACACAAGTTTGGTGCCGGATTTCTGATCAATTGACCGAATTGTGCCATTTGGGAATGAACAGAAATAAGACAAAGTGCTGTCAAAAACAACACATCAACTCACCACATCCAACTGAACAAGAAGGCGCCAATGCGGCTGCTGTGAACGAAAAGGAAAAGAAACGAATTAAAAAAAATACAACCAAGTAAAGAGATGCACAGATTTGAGTGAAAATGTATACTTAATGATATTAAATGATCGTAAATTTATCTCAATTGCCATAAAAACCACGTCGATGGCGAGAAAATTTTTAAAAACATTTCATTTTATTAAAATTTATTCAGTTATCAAAATTCTTTCATCTTTTTATGATAAAATTGTTTTTGGGAGCATTTTTCATATATTTTAGTGCCTTATTTGCTGACATAAATTCTGCTGATTTATGATTTGTGTTTTATTTGGCTGTTTAAGGGATTAGATGACAAATTTAAGCTGGACTCTTTTTATCGGGAATATGAATTATTTATTATGCATTTGATAATTGTTCTTTGACTTGATTATTTTATGGCTTAGACTAATCTGACTTTAAATGGTCATAATTTTTGATAAACTTTAAGTTTTAATAAAAATGACAAATTTTCGGCAAAAGTTTGATCCTGATTTAAAGGTATCGTTGTGACCTTGTGCATCAGATTGTGTGATGTTAACCCTCTTCACGGGAAATTTATTTTTTATATACAAAACTATCAAAAAGATTAAATCTAAAATTTATGTTTTCTTCATCTTTTTAAAAATTTAATTTCGATTTTATTTATGTCTTATTTAGTTTATTTTAATTTTCATTTCTGATTCCAGACTTTGCTGTTGATAATAATTTTGAGTTACGATTTTTGTGATGTAAAAATTTTAAAGATAAAATAAAATTAATCTGAATGGTTTTGTATGAAAAATTGTAATTTACTAAGATTGACTAAATATTTTATGAGATTTTCTAATTTTTCAAAAAGTTCTAAGGACTCGAAGTTGATTTTGTATGGACCAAGTATGGACCTGATACACTATTTAATCGATTTTGAGCTATTGTATTTTGTTTTTTAAGAAATGGAAATAAAACCTTAAATAAATCAATTAATTAGAAATTTAAGTAAAGTCCAAATTTTTTTTATAATTATCCTAGAGTAACATTACTAGTCATAGGGGCATATGATATATAAAAAAAATTTAAAATCCTGAATAAAGGCTTAAAATCGAGGAGTTACTCCTAACATACAAACAGTGTAGTTAAATAAATACGTTGCATAATTTTTATATCAGTTGTTAAAAATGAGTAATTTGGTTTACTTTATTAAAAGTCGACATTTTAATTATCACAGTCTAATTGATTGCTCAAGTTTAAAACATTAGCTAGTCTGTTTGTAACTCTTCCAAAAGTGCCAATAAAAATTTAATAATCAAATATTCACAAAAATTTAAAAACACTATTCAAACTTACCACTTTGTGAGCTTCCAGCATCTAATTGTTGTTGACACCAAAACTGAGGTGAAGAGCACATCGAAATTTCTACGCAATTTAATTTAAAAAACACAAATAAATATATTTTATCTCCAAAACAAGATTCTTTTAATTTTGAATTTAATTGCAATTTTTTGATTTTAATCAACACAAAAAAAAATAATTTGAACTACTATACACATTTAAAATCAAAATACTAATCAGATTAGCACATTAATTAAAAATTCTGTGCCATGAAAAAAAATATAACTTAAAATCATTTTTCGATTTTTTTAAAGAAATTTTAAAAATTTAAATAAAAAAATTCAAATAATATATTTTTATATTTTTTAAAATTAAATTCAATTTATATTTTATGAAATGTTCATAATTCGTAACTTTTCAGTTTATTAAATAAATTTTTGAATTTGCACCAAATTTTTAATTTTTCTGGCTTTTAGTTTTAAATATTAAGTCTTTAAATTTTTTAATTCTCAAGAACATAAAAAAATGCTTAAAAATCTTAACCTGAGCAACAAATTGTTTTCACTATTACTCCATTTACAGATTTCTTTTTAATCATAGGAAAGAATCCATCATCGCAGATATATCCAGGCATCCATGTAACAAAACTTGGACATGTCGGTGCATAGATGCAGTTCTGAGCGTTGCCTATAAATATTTTCAACTTTATTACTTTTTTCTATTTTTTGTATCACAATAATTCTCACTTTTAGACAGCACAAAAACCACAAAATATCCAATAAATGTAATAATTAGCATTTTGCTAATTTTTAATTAATAAAAAAATTTCTGGAAGATTTTTTTATCACTCGAGACTTCACTTCGATCGCGATGCACAACAACTTTTGAGAGAATTTTGGCAAGTGCATTTGGTTCTTATAGGATTGCCGAAAATTGAAAAGTTCTGTCCGGATTGAGAATTGTTCTCCCCACCTCTTAAGAATTAAGGGATATGTGTGCAAATATTACAACAAAAAAATTGCAGTTCTTGAGGTGCTAAAATAAATTGAGAGAAATGAAGCTAAACATTCTTTTTTGAGATAAATAAGTATGAACACAATTTGGTTATCTTGGAATAAGTTATGTGTCATTTATTATGCAAAGTAAATATTTTTTGAGAATATTTTTTTTTTAAAATTGTCAGGATGATTTTTGTAAAAAAAACTATTGAAATTTATGTAATTTAAAATTCACAAAAATTCTACAATAATGAATTTCAATTTTGTTCGTCAAAAAAATTGTAAAAAAATTATAAAAATTTTGAAATTTTAGAACTTTATAATTTAAAATATAAAAAATACAGAATTTAAAAATAGTTCTTTGTAACTTAATTTTAAATAAATCGTTAAAATGTGCAAAATAAAAGTTTAAAATTTATTGGTCAATCTAAAATTATTTTTTCAAAATTCAAATTTGAAAGGATTAACTGTAAATTATTTTCAACAAATATTTCACCAGAAAACACAAGAACATTTATTTTTAAAATTCTTAATTTTTAAAATACATTACCAAATCAGTTTTATTAAATAAAAGTAATTTAGCCCAAAGAGTGTCAACATATAGCACCACAAACCTCAATTTCTCTTTTAATTTAAAGTTCCATTAACAATTCACTGAGTACCAAAAACTGATAACATCTTAACAATGTTCAGCATAACTTTATTAAAATAAAATACTTTTAAAATTTTCCCAGTTGTTTTATTTGATTAAAAAAAAGTCTGAAGCAAATGAAGTTCTTTTCATTAAAAATGTGTCCAAAATGTGTCCATTTATTATTGCGTAATGTTCATTTTTTCTTCTTTTATTTTCATTAAATTCCACTTTTAAAAATTACTTGGATTGTAAATTTTAAAAAGTTTCGTGGGTTTGTTTGGATGCAATGTCACAAGTAGAACTGTTTAAAATCAGAGAAGGGCATTTTAAAGGGCCAATTATTTGTGAATATTCATTTAAGTGGGTTCAGAGATAAAAGGTTTGAACTAGAGCCTAGCTAAAGGAAGCTGAAGGATTTATTCAAGTAAGGGTGAATCAAGAGGGTCGGTCGGATCCAAAAAAGCCGCAATATTTTAAAAATAGATAAATTTTGACGTCGGAAGTCAATAGAAATTCAAAAAGGTAAGCTAATCTAGTGAGTAGTGGTATAATATAGATTAGGATTCAAGAGGGGTCAAAGAAATTTAAAGGAATCAACACAAACTGAGGAAATTTGAGGAATGAGAAAGTGTGACCAGGTGAGTCTTAAAGAGTCACAGAAGGTCTAAAACAGTTTGACCAAACTTTTTTCAGCCACGGAACACTTTAACTTTAGATTTTTTTTTCACGGCACACCTAAGGATGTTCAACGGTACACCAGTGTGTCACGGCACACAGTTTGGACAACACTGGTCTAAAATGTATAGATTTAAATCAAAATTGCTGTACAGATCGCACTGTCATAGGTTCAGGTGACAGATCTGTAACAGATATTGCCTGTTAACAGGCACATGGAGTCGCCTCTTATTAGATCTGTCAATTCTGCCCACAGGACTTAGACAGATATATTCTTGTGACAAGCAAACAATATTGCGTACATCAGGCACTGCCTGTCATCAGATAAGTGAAAAGTGATTTTTTGTGATAAATCGCAACTCTGATTTAAAAAACAACTAATCAAAAGTTACACAGGATCCAAATGACCCCTGTCAAAAGAATTTACTGAATTATCCCCAACTACCAAAACCTTCACATAAATTGATCGCACAAATTCACGATAATAATCTCATAAGAATTTTTTTGCTTAATAAATTTATGCCGCAATTTCATTTTAAAAATTCAAATTTAATTTAAGGCAAATTCACGCGTGGTAATGACAACCAGTTTCTGTGCATCTGTAATATTTCTATAAATTTAACTCTTTTCTCAACAGCTTGAGGTCTTTAGCCTCAGCGAGATGCATCAGCAATTTATCGAAAATAAATTTTCTTTATTCAGCTTCTTCATGAAACTGAATACTTTGGTGGTCGGTGTCCGTGTGCTAAATCAAAGAGCAGATCGTGTCGATTGCTTTCAATAACAAAGAAAAAGATGCTCACTGAGTGAGGTTATTTGGGTGACTTATGGGACATTCTTGCATTGTATCAGATTTTCATTCGTCAAGTTGTTAGAGATTGGAAATACAGGGATGAAGTTGGTTAGGGAATTGTGGAAGTTTATCACATTGAATGGCAAATGGTGATGTAATGGTTACTCTAAAGAGTTCGGTGAGATCCGATCCACTCCTTTGATGACATTGCTGCCTAGGGTTTTCAATCCCGGGATTAAAATGTACTGAATCCCGGGTTTGATCCGGGATTACATACATTTCAATCCCGGGATTGAAAACCCTATTGCTGCCTGTAGCTTTTCTGTAGTCTACAAAGGAAGCTACATTTGGAATTCATATGGTTCAAAAAAGGACAATCGAAAAAATTCCCATGCTGAGTCTCGAACCCATCGCTGTGTTGATATTGCACTATGGGGCAAAATGAAAAAAAAAGGGACTTTCACTTTGAAAAATGGACTTTTCCGATTTACACTTTTTGGGTGATTTTTTCTTGTAGAGGACATAAAAGTAGATAGAAATGCCAAATTTCAGGTCATTTGGTGCTGATTTCGCGATTCTAGAGCTGTTTGAAGTTGAAAACTAGTGAAAATTCTGGTTTTTTCATACCATGTTTGAACCGGGAAATATCTTAACTGGTTTAAGATATTGCAAAACGGTTTTCAGTTCCTATTAGTAGTATATAAGAGCTTTATTTTGACATATAACAAAGTTTAGGTTCTGAATGTTTTCGTGCCATTATGGTAGAACATATGTGAAAATTTCAGGAAAATTATCTTCAAACAAGCCGCAACTATCATAAATGAAGAGTTTCCAGGCAAGTAAAAACGCAGTTTTGTAGCCCCATATATCTAGTTTTCAAAACTGTATAAACTTTGAAAAAGTAAGCTAACGTAATTGAGTTATGTTGATTTTAGTAGGTCGTTGAGTATTTGGCCAAAAACTAATAATTCTTTTAAAAATACGAAAACATAGTTTTAAAAATAGTTTTTTGGTGTTTTCTTATGAAAAATAACAATTTAAATGATTTTGTGAAGAAAATTTTTCAAAAACTTCAAAATCTTTCGAGATATAGGGGGTATGTGCTCTCCATCGATTTGGCCATTTGTCACCCTACTTAAACCACTATAACTTTTTTTTGAAAAAATATTTTTTAATTCTGTTTTCGGATTATTGTAGCCTAATGTAATACCTATCCAACGATATATAATACTTGCTAGTTAACTTAGTCCTGGTTATTTATAGGGCTGTTGATTGTGACATACGCAGTTTTTGAAATATTCCCAAAAATTGCATTTTCAAAAATACCACTTTTAAGCAATCTCGAGTATTTTTTAGAACTTTTTTATGTTTATTTATGACATTTATGAGATTATAAAGCCAAAAAATTAAATTTAGAAACTTTTTACTTCCCTAGTTAACAACTTTGTAAAGTACCCTTGGTAGTCACTATCAGGTGTGAAAATCTCAGTTTTGAAACTATTTTATATATATACTCGTGAAATTCTCTCTACACATCATATCAGTTTTGAACTTCATTGAACAAGTCACTTTCAAAAATGAACCAAAATTCAACACTTACGAAGAAAACACTCTGTGAAATTCTTCGCGACAAAACGTTAAATCTTGCAACACAGCACACGTACTGTTTGGCAGTAATAGAAGAAATTCATGGGAGAGAATTAGCGGAATCACAGAAACCAAGTTTAATTAATAAATTAAACAAGCTGAAGTCAAAGTCAAAAATGTTTTGTAATCAGTCAAATTGGAATAATGCATTAAGAGATCATGCAGATTTCTATGAAGAGGAATTTGAAGTTGACTCACGATACTTCAGCGAATCTAGTGGAGGGATTCTTTTTGAGGAAGAATCTATATATGAAGCAGAAAATGTTACTGACACAGATGAAGATATGGATGAGATTGAATACATCGTCCATGACATAGAGCCTTCATCCAGCAAGGGCATCAAGAGGAAATCATTTGAACAACTAACAAGCGATAAGCATCGACGTAGAAGAGTGGACGAATTAGATATCAGTTTAAAAGAAGCAAAAGGATCATTGTTATCAGTTCTTCACTTGGCACTTCGCCTTTCTAAAGAAGAAGGAAAAGTAGAAGGAGCTAAAATGTTAAAAGAATTTATTAAGGCGTGCCAAAAAGGAGAGGATCTTCCAGAAAAAACTATTTTTGAAAGTGACTTGTTCAATGAAGTTCAAAACTGATATGATGTGTAGAGAGAATTTCACGAGTATATATATAAAATAGTTTCAAAACTGAGATTTTCACACCTGATAGTGACTACCAAGGGTACTTTACAAAGTTGTTAACTAGGGAAGTAAAAAGTTTCTAAATTTAATTTTTTGGCTTTATAATCTCATAAATGTCATAAATAAACATAAAAAAGTTCTAAAAAATACTCGAGATTGCTTAAAAGTGGTATTTTTGAAAATGCAATTTTTGGGAATATTTCAAAAACTGCGTATGTCACAATCAACAGCCCTATAAATAACCAGGACTAAGTTAACTAGCAAGTATTATATATCGTTGGATAGGTATTACATTAGGCTACAATAATCCGAAAACAGAATTAAAAAATATTTTTTCAAAAAAAAGTTATAGTGGTTTAAGTAGGGTGACAAATGGCCAAATCGATGGAGAGCACATACCCCCTATATCTCGAAAGATTTTGAAGTTTTTGAAAAATTTTCTTCACAAAATCATTTAAATTGTTATTTTTCATAAGAAAACACCAAAAAACTATTTTTAAAACTATGTTTTCGTATTTTTAAAAGAATTATTAGTTTTTGGCCAAATACTCAACGACCTACTAAAATCAACATAACTCAATTACGTTAGCTTACTTTTTCAAAGTTTATACAGTTTTGAAAACTAGATATATGGGGCTACAAAACTGCGTTTTTACTTGCCTGGAAACTCTTCATTTATGATAGTTGCGGCTTGTTTGAAGATAATTTTCCTGAAATTTTCACATATGTTC